GTTCATGTTAAACTAGATGATATTCCGAAGATGACTTTTCAAACGAGGTATGGACATTAAGAGTACATTATGATGTTGTTTGGTGTATCTAATATGCCAGGTGTTTTCATGGAGTATATGAATAGAACTTTCCATTCGTATCTATATAAGTTTGTGGTGGTTTTCATAGATGATATTCAAATCTATTCTAAGTCATAAGAAGAGCATGCAGAGAATTTGAGAATCATGTTGCAAGTGTTGAAAGAGAAGAAGTTATATGTTAAGCTGTCGAAGTGTGAATTTTGGCTAAAGGAAGTGAGTTTCCTCGGTCAAGTGATTTCTAGTGGTGGAATTGTTGTGGATCCTTCTAAAGTTGATGAAGTGTTGCAATGGGAGACTCTAAAGTCTGCGAATGAGATTCGAGGTCTTCTTAGTTTAGCAGGTTATTACCGAAGGTTCATTGAAGGATTCTCTAAGTTAGCATTATTGTTAACTCGGTTGACTCAAAATGGTCAAGCTTATGTGTGGGATGTTGCATGTGAGGAAAGTTTCATAGAATTGAAAAAGAAGTTGATGACTGCTCCGATATTAATTTTGCCTAACTCAAGTGATGCTTTTGTAGTGTATTGTAATGTGTAGAAGATGAGTCTTGGTGGTGTGTTAATGCAAAATGGAAATGTTGTTACTTATGCTTCTAAGCAATTGAAGATTCATGAAAGTAATTATCCTACGCATGACTTAGAGTTGGTAGTTGTGGTGTTTGTGCTGAAGATTTGGAGACATTAGCTTTTCGGATCTAAATTTGAAGTGTTCAGTGATCATAAGAGTCTGCAATACTTGTTTGACCAAAAGGAGTTGAATATGAGGCAGGTAAGATGGATTGAGTTGTTGAATGATTATGACCTTGATTTGAATTACCATCCAGGTAGAGAAAATGTGGTGGTTGATGTGTTGAGTAGAAATAGTTGCATATGTCAATGCTTATGGTTCGAGAGTTAGAAATGATCGAACAATTCAAAGATATGAGCTTAGTATGTGAAGAGACTCCTGATAGTGTGAATTTGGGAATGTTGAAACTAACTAGTGGTATAATAGAGGAAATACAAGAAGGTCAGAAATATGATTTGAAGTTAGTTGACCTTGATTAACCAAGGCAATGGGGGTGAGTTCAAAGTTGATGATAATGTTGTGATGCAGTTCGGAAATAGTGTGTGTTCCAGATATTCTAGAACTTAAGTGAATTATCCTTGAAGAAGGACATCAAAGTGGATTAAGTATTCATCTCGGTGCCACGAAGATGTATTAAGACTCGAAGAAGTTATTTTTGTGGCCTGGTATGAAGAAGGAAATCGCTAAATTTTTTTATGCTTGTTTGACTTGTCAGAAGTTCGAAGATTGAACATCATAAGCCTATGGGTCTTATGCAAACTTTGAGTATTACAGAGTGGAAATGGAGCAGTGTCTCTATGGATTTTTTTTGTCGGGTTTGCCGAAGACTGCTAAAGGAAATGGCTCAATTTGGATGATTGTGGATAGGTTGACTAAGTCGGCTCATTTCTTACCAATGAAGATTAATTATCCTATGGAGAGTCTAGATGAGATGTATATTAATGAAATTGTGAAATTGCATGGAATACCTTCGAGTATCGTGTCAGATAGAGATCTGAGATTTACGTCGAAAATCTAGGAAGGTTTGCATAATGCCTTTGGTACTAAGTTGAGGTTGAGCTCTACATATCATCCACAGATGAACGGTTAGACAGAGAGGAATATTCAGTCTTTTGAGGATTTGTTGAGGGCTTGTGTGCTAGAACAAGGAGGATCTTGGAATATTCACCCGTCGTTGATTGAGTTTACATACAATAATAGTTTTCATGCGAGTATTGGTATGGCACCGTATGAAGCGTTGTATGGTGGGAGGTGTAGGACTCCATTGTGTTAGTATGAGTCGGGTGAGAGAGTTGTGCTCAGACCTGAGATTGGACAGAAGATGAATGAAAAGATTAAGATGATTCAAGAAAGGATGAAATCTTCTCAGAGTCTTCAGAAGAGTTATCATGACAAGATGAGGAAGGCAATCAAATTCCAAAAGGATGATCGTGCTTTTTTAAGAGTTACTCTGGTGACTGGTGTTGGTAGAGCTTTGAAGTTGAGTAAGCTTACATCATGTTTTGGTGGCACATATCAGATTTCAGAGCAGATAGGTGAGGTGGCCTATCGGATTACTTTATTATCGACGCTTGCAAATCTTCATGATGTGTTTCAGGTGTCTCAGTTGAGAAAGTATATTATGGATCCTTCGCATGTGATTCAAATGGATGATGTACAGGTGAACGATAACCTGACTGTTATAGCATCACCCATGCGGATAGAAGGACGAGAAGTGAAGCAATTACAGGGTAAGGACATCGCCTTAGTGAAGATATTGTGGGGTGAACCAGCTGGTGAAAGTTAGACTTGGGAACACGAGGATCAGATGAGAGAATCTTATCCGATTTTATTTCCATCAGGTAATTTTCGAGGGTGAACATTCTTTTAAGTGAGGTAGAGTTGTAACACCCCAAAAATAATTAGATTATTTATTTAATTATTTGATTAATTTATGTTTGGTAATTGTGGCTTAATTGTGATGTTTATGTGATGTATGGAAGATCATGATGCTTGATATGATGTTTTGTGTGGTGTATGATGGGGTTGTAGGAATTAAGAATGTATAGAGTATTTTATAATAATTTAGATAATTAGAATGATTAATCGGAATTATTTTAATTAGTTAAATAGGGATACAATATGATGTAGAGATGTTAGGGACAAAGTGGTAAATTGTAAATGGATAAGCGAGGGTAAGATGGGAAGACCATAGAAAGGGTCCAAAGGTTAAACAAGGAATAGAGGGGAGAAAGTCTCATTTTGTGAAATCGTGAAAAGAGAATATTGTAAAGAGAGGTAGGGCACGAAGGAACTCAGGGGTATTTGATAGAACAAGAAGAGAAATCATTTGCTAGGAGAAATCTAAGGTAAAGGGATTTATCGTTGTTATTATAATTTATCTAAGGTTTAGATAATTGTAGGTTGTGTTGGGTTTTTGGGATGATGATGTTAATATGATGATTTGATGAAAATTGGTAAAACCATGATGTTTTCTTGCAAGTAGTTAATGCATATGATGTGTGATAATCTGTGTTGTTGTTATGTGATGAGACCAAGTGAATCTATGATGAATTGAGACATGTACCATGGAAAAATCATGCAGAAATTGGGAATATGTACAGTGCAAAAATTGCAACAGGGAAGTCATGTTCGCACTGCAATGCTTGGTGGTGGATGTATGTCGTCGGGTGATGGAGCCTCGCTCCAGCAGCGTCGGGCGAGTAAGAAGCGATGGATGGGGTGAAAAACATAGCCCCTGGATTTTTGTATGGAGGGTGGTCTGTCGCTGGAGCATCGACTGGCGTCGAAGTGGCGAGAGGAGAGCGTCAGGCGAGTGAGATGCAGCGCCGGGAGGTGGAGACCAGAAAGGAAAAAGGATGTTGTCTCTCGCTCGTCATCGGGCGAGCCTCAGGTGAGCATCCTGCTTTGTCGGGCCAACATCAGGCGATGGACAACAGTAGTATTTTAAAAGTGTCATAACATGAGTTTTAGGACTCCAATTGACGCGTCGTTCGAAACGTTAGGAAGCTAACGTGATGAACTATAATTTAGTGGAATATAAAAATACATATGATATGTTTTTCCAGTACCTATGATTTGATGAATAAGATGATTCAATGATTATTTTGGTATGTTGTATGTGTATACGATGAATTATTGATGCTATGATGATGTTATTTCGTGTTATGAAATATGTGTTGATATTTATGATGATTATATGAATGATGATGCGTTTTGACTAGCACTGGTCATTTGGCTATTAAATATGTTTCGCATCATGCATTTATGGCATGAGTTAGGGCGTAGCCCTGTGATTTTTGCAGGATGTTGTTCCAGTGAGTTTTGTAGGATGAATAGTCTAGTGGTGGCCTCAATCCCATAGTGTGGATTGAGTTCAATTTGTGATGTGCTTTGGTTCCAAGTGAGAATCGATCCTATTGGTGAGGATCTTTGGAGAAAATGATGACAGTGTCATTAGTGAAGTTTTGGTACCATATGCATGACTCTAAAGAACTTGCATTGTATTATATGTGGCATCGTATGATGATTTAATTGACTGATGTTTTATGGATGCGTGTTTGTGATAATTTCAGTGATGGTATTACCATGTGTCTGATGCATATTATGATGCTTGAAGGTGTGGGTATGACATGAGGTTTCGATGGTGTGTTTCTTTGGTGTTGTTTCATAACTACTATATTTACTCTTTATGTCTTTTATAATGATTATGATTTACTTACCCTTGTTGCTTGGAAATGTTGTCTCTATGCGTGGGTAACTTGCAGGTAATCAAGAATAGTTCGCTGAGCCTTAGTGGATAGATGTGGAGTGTGTTCTTTATTTCTTGAATAATAAAAGGGGTTTTTCTCTGATATGTAACATTGGGGATGAGATCGTTTATTTTTAATAATCATGTTATCTTGTTTAATTTGAGATTTGAACTACCCTTGTGGTAATTGAGTTGTTTTGACTTGATGAGGTTATTAAGAAGTATCTTAATAGATATGTTGTGAATTATGAATTTCCACTGCGAGTAAGTTGAAAAACTATGGTTGTTAATTATGGAGTACTTAACGTAATTGATTTTTGGAAGCCCGTGTTACGGAGCAGGATGTGTTTTACTATGAAGTTTGTTTGAAGCAATGTGACACCCTTTTTTGTGCATTACTCTGGTTTAATTATTGAATTATCTTGCTAATATTCTTTGGGGTTTAGAAGGATGTTACATTTATCATTTTGTAGCAAGTTTTGAGGATGAATTGGTGGATGATGTTTGGAAGCTGATTTGGAAAATCGAAGCCTCAGAGAACTGCTGAAGTTTTATTTGGTTAATGAAGCATGATTGGCTCCTACCAAACTTCGGTAGAAGCATGAAAGGTTTGGATAATGCTAGTTGTAAGTTATGTAGTAATGCTTGTGAAACTACTCTGCATGCCATAAGGGAATGTCCTAAAGTTATAAATATTTGGAAGAGAATCATTCAGAGTAGTATTTACAATGATTTCTTCTACTTGGATCTTCAGAAATGGATTAAAGTTAACCTAAAGTTTCATGGATACGGTATCAAGTTGTGGAGCGTTGTGTGGGCTATCGTGTGTCATCAAATTTGGATGTGGAGAAATAAGGAAGAACATGATGACTTTTATTTGAGACCAAGCGAGCTAGCTCTTTACATTTTACAAAGAAGAAAGGATTATGAGCATACAAAGAATCTAACGATGCAAGTGACGAGGAATGGAGTGAGGAGTAAGAACATTGAGTGGAGGCCGCCTACGGATAATATGGTAAAGCTCAATTCAAATAGACCTGGCAAAGAGGATAATATAGTTGCTTATGGGGAGTTATTAGATATGAGAGAGGTGATTGGATCAGTGGTTTCTCCAAGCACTTGGGGCACTACAGCGCAATGGTGGAAAAATTTTAAAGTATTTATGAAGGGATCAAACTTAGTTAAAGGTTAGGTTTGAAGAGAGTGGAATTAAATGTGGATTTTTTGCTACTGGTTAAAGCTATTGAGGGGGTATTGGCAGTAATGCTAGTTGTTTGGCATTGATCGGAGACATAAGAAAGTTGATGGCAGATTATGAGTATGTGCAAGTGACTCATACTCAAAGAAGCAAATTTATATGTTGATGACCTAGCTAATATATGGTGCTTTGATAAGATGTTTCGAGTCTATAGAGAAGCTCCAACCATTTTAACAGTCTCATTGAACTCCGACATAGCTACTGTTGTTATCTCTAAAGAAGTGTTTGTGTAGTTATTTTTATTTTGGGCTTCGGCCCTCTCTTTCATAAAAAAATAGGGAATTTCTTACCACGCCCTATGCTTATGAAAAGAACCCTATGGAAACTCAAAACTTCCCATGCGTTATCGGAAGGGTATCTCCGGGACGCATCTTTTTTGTTAAACCTCGATTATTTCCAGAGATGCATCTACAGGAGGGAACCGTAAATGTAATCTCGATTAATTAGTGCGGGAAATTGGAAATTCTGCCACCTTTGTATGTGAGATATTACTGGAAGTGTATTTATAGGAAAATCAAAAGTCAAATTGCTTAAAACAGCAACTAGCATGAACCATGGTGATTACCTTCATTTCCAAAACTTTCCATAAACCCTCTCCAAAACCCCTTCTATTCTCAATCAAGTTTTTCACTCCAAATCTTTATTTTTGTGGTTCATCGTATCAAAAGGAGCTAAAGGAAGTGGAATTTAAGGTAAAGTTTATTCATTTCAACTCAAATTCACCACATTAATCTGGTTTTTCATGGAAAAAAAGGTCACGTTAATACCGGAAATGTACTCCCGGGTACGCAATGAACTGACCCGGATATACATTTTCGGTTTCTCGTTGTGATTATTTCTTGCACTTTATTCGTTCATATGGATGTCTCTTAGTTAAATATTTTTTTACATTAGGTATGTTGCATCCCGATGCTATTTCTAAACTTATTGTATCCCAAATTGTTTCACCTCTCTTAGTTAAGGCGGTAGATATGCGAAACTATTTTAAAAATGAACAAGAGTGTGAATTCTGTGATGACATGTTGTAGTGGATTCGTAGAGGCCATCAAACTAGAGTTTGGTGTTGTGATCGAAAGGTCCGATAATGGTTCAGATAGAAGATGTGCATCTGTGGCATTGACATGCGAGAGAAGTGGGGAATATAGATGCCGTATCCGAAATTTGAAACGAGATGATACCGGTTCAAGAAAATATGAATTTCCATTTAAGTTGTGTGGTTATCATTTGGAAAATAATAAATAAAAATTTAATGTGATATGTGGTTTACATAATTACGATTTATGTGCAAACTTAGTCGGTCATCCAATTGCATGTCGGCCTTTGCCGAAAGAGAAGGAATGTGTTTCCGACATGACATTGAATTTGGTACCTCTCAAAAACATACTTGCAACCTTGAAGCGCAAAAGATCCAGAAATATCTCAAATATCAAGCAAGTGTACAATAGGCGCTATCAATTCCAAAAACATACTGATGATGTTATACATTTCAGGAAGGTGTGCGTGAAATATCCTGATTTACTGAAATATATTGAAAGCACAATTTTGGACCTGATAAAGGAGAAGATTGTTTGTGCTTGGACCGATCAGGTTATGCACCTTAGAAATACAACAACAGACTGAATTGAGTCTGCTCATGCTTGTCTGAAGAATTATTTGAGAAATAACAAGGGTGATTTGTGTGCGGATTGGGAATCTGTGAACCAAATGATACTAAACCAGTATAATGAGATACAAACATCATTTGGTCGTAGTATCACCATGTTGGAACACAGGTTCAAAGACAACCCTCTATGTTTCTGGTTTACTCGATAAAGGGGAAGAGGATCACCAACTTCCCACTATGCACTACTCCACCACCAAATCCCAATGATTGTATCATTTGTGTTGGATGAGTTTTAAATCTGCAGTATTTTCTTCAAGTGTATTTGAAACATGGATGCTTTATACGACTTACATCACCAGAGTGGGTGAATCATTACGCAATCCAATCCGAGACTTGGTTGGACCAATTTACTGAAAGGATACAAGAGTACACCAAATTGAACAACTTTGAAATAGAAAAAAAAAAGGAAAAGTCAAAGGGGGTACCACCTATAGATTTGACAAGCAACAATTATTTCGGATCATTTAAGTAGTTATTTATCATTTTATTGTATATGACATTTTGTTAATGTATTATGCTGTAGAATATGAATATTTTGTAGTTTGTCCAAAAATATCAGCATTCTAGACAATTATGTGCTTTTGTTTCTGTTCTATTTTCTGATTTTTAATACCATGGAAGTTTCCGGAGATACATCTCTGATACAAAATTTAGGGTGTTATCGGAATTGCATCTCTAATACATTCTCTGTCAACATATAGGATTTGTATGGTCAATAATATTATCACCCTACTATAAATAAGGTCACTTGTGATTTTATTTCATACCAAAACACAAAAAATCGGCATCAACATCAAATGGCATGTCATATTGCAGGAGCTCCTACCAAATGGTGATAATCAAAAAATCGTGAAAATCGAATATCGCTCGCCATCAGTTGACGAAGAAGGGAAGCTTGAGTTTACAAACCATGAGCTGAAGACAGACAATGATTAAACAGGCTATGTGGATAACCTTTTTCCATTTAGAATCAAAAATTCTGATCGAGTTGGATGCGACTATTTTGAGATCGGTCGGCGATATTATCAAGATGTTGCAACGTCCATCTGAATGTTGAAGTGTACTGTTTGATCTATGTTAAAATCCCTTATAAATATTGTTTATTTTATGATATCAATGGTGTTGAAATTTTGTGAAAATAGTGTATTCTATTTCTGTCTTTGTTACATTCTGTAATAAATTTACCATAAATGTATCTCTGAAAAAATTGTGTTTTATCACATCCTAAATGTATTTCAAAGATGTATCTCCTGAAATCTAGGGAAAATCTGCATGATGCATTAGAAAATTAGAAAAGCCTAGGGTCTGTGAAGAAATTCTCAAATATTGATAAAATTTGAACCGATTATCTGTCTACCTCACCTTACTCTCATGTCTCATCCTTGCCACCAGGCTGGTGATGAGGTAGATAACTGAAACGACAATTTAATTAGATATTTAAAATTGAAAATATATCAACAATTTTAAACATATAGTATGGTCATCCCTATTTATCAATATCCTCAAACAAACTTTACAGTAACGAAATCTATGCATCAAAGTATGATACATGAATACAGCAGGTAATTTTTCCTGATTGATCCTTCAGGAAGAAAGAAAAAAACCATAAACCAAATTATTTGACCGGATCAACATTTATCCAACTCACTTCTCTTTATTCCCAATGCTTGCTGCTCTCATAATTGTCAATGCTCAAATAAGAAAGTCATGTTTTATCTGGTCAAAACAGTGGAAGATTTCTTCAATTCTAAAATTTCAACACCCAGAAGATAAACATTCAGGTGTAACTTATTACTTATTATCCTCAACTCTGGCATCACAGAGAAATATGCAGAGTATTTAACTTCAGTTCTTCATTTCCTTTTCTCTTGAATCTGCGGAACTTTAGCTTCAAATCAACCTAAAATATGTTCATTTTTGGCTCTCATTACAAAATGCACAACTTCCCCACTGAAGTAATCTTGCCATTTGGGAAAATAGCTCAACTGGTTTACGAGTTTCATTCACGAATAGAATTAAATTGTGCCGTACTCCAAGTTTTCCCACCTGAAGGGAGAAACTGAACCTACAAAAGGGGTTCCGCGGAATAACACACAAACACAAACACAAACAGCGGCAACAGCTAGCATTGAATGAATAAAGGGACCGTGAAGCCAGTTCCTTGGACCTGAAAATCTTCTCTTGAAGTGAACATCGGCAATTGCACACTTGGAACAAGAGTTACCAACCCGTTTGACTTGGTTAATTTGCTTTTGCATAAGCTCAATTCCTAGTGATTGGTGCTCTATCTCGTCGATTTTAACTGCAACTTCACTTCTTTGTCTATCAGAAAGTTTCCGAGCAACCAACATATTGTAAGACTGGTTATTTCTCATCGTGGCATATGCATGTGGAGTCTGCCCATTTTCATCCACAAGGGTCTCCCAGCACTTCAGCCCAATCTACACACCAGGATGAAAAATATGCCAGAGAAATTAAGGACTCAATAAAATAGAATATTGTTAACACATTACAAAAAATCTTATTATAATGACAAAATATATTATCATATTATTTAAGTTTTTTAAATAACTCAGCTTATTAGGCATAAGCGGATTTTAAGATGGCCTATAACTTGACCTTTTTTTGTTAAAAAGGCTTTATCTTAGGCTTGTTTTAAGCTAGGTAGTAGGTCCTTGTCAGCCGACCTGACCTATTTAAACCCTAAAATACTACCACAGACAATTCAATTAGATTATTTTCCTTGTTACTCGGCAAAAATAAAAATCAGTAAATCCGAAAGGGAAGGAAATAATTACCTCTTGTGGATCATTTGTTAAAGAGTCAATTACACCCTCAGAATCCAATGTAGATGCTGCCAAATGCAAGGGAGTAATACCACCAGGTCCATCGAGATTTGGTGGAAATACATATTTCTTGGATGTGTCATTTTTGCTAGGTATAGAATAATGGACAAGTATATCAACCATGCTTATGTACTTTCTTTTCACTGCTCTATTTAGGAGTTGGATTGCTTTAAGCATCTCCATTGACCCTGTTGACAACCTTTCTCCTTCGAAGTGTTTATCAACCAACATATCCAAAAGGGTTTTGACTATCATGCAACAGTTTCTCTCCACAGAAAACGTCAGTACAAATTTGAACCTGTCGAGCGAATAATCTGGAACCTCGTGCACATTCGACAACCTTTCCCTTTGAAACAGCCAGCCAAGCTCATTCAGAAAATGCAAAGCCTCATCCCTTGACTTGGGCCTCCCAAAATGATATTCAT